GGGCGGCAAAGCTCTCCCTCAAGAGTTTTAACACTGTTGCATTCTCAGGGCTCGAACTCGAGACCACTGGTTAAGCTGGAAGAGACCCAAGCCATCTCATCCAAGCGCTCTTGGGTGGGTATGAGTATATGTTGATTCAACTATGAAAATCTTCTTACCTCCCAAAAGACAGTACACTGTATACATTATGATAAGAAATTTCAATGCATGGGATCGATCGATATTGGCTCAATGCATGGGATCGATCGATCGACTCCTTTCCATATTGCTCGATTCTGTATATATATATAAAGGCGAGGCACCTGGTTCTTGGTTCATAATTTATTAATTAGCTTAATTCAAGTGAGTCCTCGTCGTGCTTTTCCCCAAGGGGATAGAATCCATCAACTAGCTAGATCGAGATCAAGGGTCATTGTTTTCCGACTTCATAATAATATTAAACAAGTCGTTTTTCCGTCCTCTAAGTCATGCCATAGCCGTATTTTTCTTGACGAACTTTAATGATAAAATAAAGCGCGTCGCAAAAAGAACGCGCTGGTATTTTAGTCGAATCCAAGAAGTTGCAGCACTTTATAGTGGAGATTTCATGAACAGTTCATTCATGCAAGATATTAAATAGACAAATTCAAACTATTTCTTATAAAAACAAAAAAAAAAAGTAAGAAAAAATACAATATGGGTCTCCTTAAAGGCCAATTAATTGGTAATCCTGCTATATATAGCAGTAATAGTTAAATGCAGCTTTTGTCCTGCTGCATTGAAGGCCTTCAATGTCCTTACATTGCTCCCCCTGGAAATAGTTAATCAGTATAATGGTTAAATAATCACATTTTTTAAACAAATATGTATACTATATAATTACAAACTGAAATATTGTCATATACTCCACAAAACAATATAAATTAAAGTATGTCGTTTCAATTTTCACTGCAAATGTATGACATATCGACTCGTCTAATGGTTAAAAATTATTATTACCAAAATCTCTTGGCGCGTGGCATTTCAAGCACTCCGTCCTGCTAGCATAATTGTGCATGCCGCAACCGAACCTATATATCGTCCACAAACCATTCGAATCATAATTAACCAGTAAAATAAAATTTTTAAAAAATATATAATTTCAGCTAAAATGCAATTTTGGTCCTGTGTTACTATGAAGATAACAATTTAGGTCTTATCGGAGTGACATATAGTAATTAAAGTCTTGTAATTTATTATTTAGTTGTACTTTCAGTCAATGGAGGACTGAATTTGCAACAAATATGAAATTACATGCATAAAATTCCAAAATTACATATTTGGGATGAATTTTTGATAAACATATTTAAGTCCTACAATTTAATATTTTGCTGCAATTTCAGTCAAATTGAAATTGCACCAAAAATTTAAATACAGTATTTAAATTGATAAATGTCATTTTAGTGGGACCTAAATTGCTACATTCACAATATAATCTATCAGGATCGAAATTGAATTTTAGCCTAAAGTGTAAAACTCAGAGCAAATTTACAAACCCGGAGCAAATCCAGTCGCCGTTCTTCCACCCGGGCACTGCGTAGCCGGCGGCCGCCATGACCCCAGCCCCAAGGCCGCAGTAGTCCCGGGTCGTGCAGCACCGGTAGCAGCTGTTCCGGCTGGCGTAGTTGTGGGCCCCACAGTTGAGGGCCCCGCAGTACCAGTCACCGGCCAGCTCGTGCTGCCTCGCCAGCTGAGCCGACCCGTAGGCCGAGAGCTCCGCGGGGCCCGCGTACTTTGGGCAGCTGCACCGCTGGCACATGTCCCTCCTCTGGAAGTTCACGTGCTGGCACGCTCCGCACATCCAGTCTCCCTGCCTGCAGCTCATGATTGTACAAGTCGTTTAACAACAAAGTACTACAAAAATAATATTTTCGTTTTTTGTTTTTGTTCTTGAATTCGAAATCGAGGGATCATCAGTGTGGTTTATATAGTTATCATGTGGGCAAGTTTTTGTGGGGCCCACGAGGTGTATATTGATATGGTATTTTAGATGCTTTGAAGCTATAGCTCCCGAGGATCGGACAACTTGGACGTGGGGATACGACGACGGGAAGAGGAGAAAAAGGGATTTTTTTTTTTTTTACAGGGACCTTCCGGTTTCTGGATCCACAAGGGAACCGACTAATCCGGAATCGAGCTGAAAAGGGAGTTTTTTTGATTATACGATGCAAATGTGGAAATAGAATGTAAGAGTGTCGATATAATTAAACTTTTTTTGTTTTGTTTTTGGGTTACGTAGGATTCGATCCATGCATTATTGAGGGGAAAGCGAGTAAATGAAAGAAAATAAAATGATGCTTGTTATATTCTTTTGGTCCATTTGTGGTAAGGCGTTATGAGGGGAAGATGTTATTTGGGAGGCCATTGGAATGTGGGTTCGATTGAGTGTCGGTTGGCCATTGGTTACATGTAGGCTGCATCTCTGTAGCTTTGTAAGCGTTCGGTTTAATTTTGCTTACATGGCATGTAACAGATTTAAATTTTAGATTACATGCCATATTTATAGGGAAGCGAAATTCGCTGTTGATCATTTGGCGAGCATGGCGGTATTGTTCCCGATTGGCCTACACCGCCTAGTCTCCCCGCCGGAGGGTTTGGGTGTTTGGCTCGACCATGATAATATGGGGGTGTCGTACCCCCGTCAAGTACTTGCTTAGGCATTTGACTTCTTTCTTTGTACTAAAAAAAAAAATTAATTTTCAACGCAAATAGACTAGGTCTTTATTTGGATCTAAAATAGACTCAATGGTAGATCGGGTCTCATTTTCTTGTTGTCACATCGACAGGACTCAATCCAATTGCATCTTCATTGAAGTATATTTTGTGTAGACTATGTTTATTTCTTATGTGACCTGTATATTTTTCCGACAGAACTCAAAATATTGTTGTCTGCGTATGTTTAAACGATTGCTCAATTATGTTGTGGATTAGTATTTGATTATTTGAATGCGTATTTTCGAACCACAATGTCTTTTTATCCATCTTTTTGTGATTCAGATTGTACCAAAGTCAATGAACAAGTCAACATATTCTAACATAAATAATAATAAAAAAATATTTATATATTTTCGGAGGTGTTTTATTTATATTAACATAACCTTAATTTGTGCTCATTAATCAAGCGGTTGACAATATTGTTCCATTAAATTAAAATGGTTCAAATCAATTCAAACCTATATAGACAATACAAGAACTTGATTTTTATTCAAAGGAAAAGAATATATATATATATAATATAATCAATTAAGGAGAATAAGTTCCTTATAATAATAATGCACATATATCCATTGAGAAATTCCATTCTCCTTTAATTAGCATGTATGGTAAATTAGATTCCTCATCTCCATGCAATAATTCAAATACCCACAATCCATCGAACATTTTATCCCATGGCCTATGGAAACACCTCAACACCCATCTTTTTGCAAGCACAACTCACGTTTTTTGTGATATACTATATATTTATATATAGAAAAAAAAAAAAAAAAAAGAAAAACATGTAGTATACACAACTTTTAGTGGATCTTAACTAGGGTTGTCAACGAACTGAAAGTTCGCGAACAAAAGCTCGTTCGAGCTCGTTCGTCATTGACAAGAGCTCATCCGTTTGTTAATCAAGCCGAATTCGAACAAAAAATTAGACTCGTTCGATAATCGAACAAACCCGAGCTCGTTCGTGAGCGTTTGACAAACATTAATATAATATAATTTTATTTTTTTTATGTATGTATTTATATCATATTTTTAATAAATAAACTAAAAATATTCTATACTTCATTTTATTTTTTATTTTGGAGTTTGAACAATTAAATTTTGAGTTAACCAAGCAATTTTACAAAGTTTGTCTCTTGAACTTTTGGAATACCTATGAACTCGAACTCTAACGAAGAATTAAACGAACAAACTCGATATATAAATTTTCGCTCGAAAAATAAACAAACAAAAACACGAACAGGGTACGGACACGAGCTTGAAATGCCCAAGCTCGATTCGTTCGATTCAATATTACAACACTAAATTATTAGTTAACTCGTCCATAAAATACATAACTGCGTAGTTATAATGCGCGAAAAAAAAAAATATATTAATTTTCATAAAATTCAAGCCGCATTTTTTTAAGAAAATCCCTCCCTATATATTATTTCAAAACGTGTTGAGCCTAGGTGGCTGATTCTCACGTTTCGGATGTTGACATGACGAAAATCTATACTTCGTGATGTTGTTTTTATATTTTTTTCCCTCTGGAGTTAAGTTTAGTATTAGACATAAATAACTTTACACATATATGTTGTACATGGGTATTAATACTAATATATGTTATATATGTTATATAATATTATTAGAAAATGTTGCGGTCCCGTTACCATCCCGTCGAGTGTTTTAACCGTTGAATACACATGTAGTTAGTATAAGATAGATGATCCGACGGTTAAAACACCCGACGGGATGATACCGTAACGAGACCATAGCATTTTCCAATATTATTATTTTACCCCTTATTCCTTGGAACCGACTCCATGCATGCAGTTTCTCTCAAGGCTCATGCGGGGCTCACCGAGTCAATTAATAAAAAGATTTGGCGTACGTGGAAAGGTGCGGTTGGTCAGACATCTGAGTGCATTAAATTTAGCAACCCAATTGCTAATTAAGCATGCCTTTTAACAGTTGGTCATATGAAGATCATTTTATTTATTTATTTATTTGTTTATTTTATTTATTTTTAGGTGGATAAGGTATATTCTGATCAACAGGCTTTTAAGTGTCCTAGGTGGACTAAGGAGTGGCCACGGTTCACTCTCACTGACCTCCACCAATATTATATAAAGTAATAATGCCATGTGTACATAATACATATTATAATTGAGAAAAATGCTAAAATCCTAATTTATGGAAATACAGTAATTTAACAGTTACAAATCTCGACGGAATGATTCCGTAATGAAACCGTAGAATCTCCCCGTAATTTATCAACTATTAACAATTTCTAAATCAGATAGTAAAATCATTTTTTTTTTCCAACTCCCCCTTGAAAAAAAACCCGGAAAACAAGGTTCCCCACCCAATTCCAACCATCAAAACACAAAACCCATGCAACTACTCCTCTCCCTCTCTCTCTCCCTCTCCAAAGAAAGAAAAAAAATCCTCATAAAAAGGAAAATAAAAAAATAATTAAAAAAAAAATCTTCAGGGCCCGAAACACGGTGAAGAACGATACAAAATGCCGTTAATCGAGAATCCGTGGGGCCAGGCGACCGTGAAAACCGAGAGGTTGGGTGGGCCCTCCCCAAAGCTCTCGGACAGGGTGACCGAGAAGTTGGAGCGAACAAAGGAGGCAGCCTCGGCAGGAGTCGAGAAGACCAAGGCCGGGGCCCGCAAGGTGAAGGAGGGGGCCTCGTCGGGGGTCAATTGGCTCAAGCTCAAGTGCAACAAGAACAAACTATTCCAAAAGAAATGAACAAATTAGTTGTTGTTGTTCCTTTTTTCTATTCTTTTATTTTTTTTATCTTCTTCCTTTTCTCTTTCCCATGTTCATTTAGCTTAGGTTGTTAATTTGGTGATGGTTTGGGGGAGTTCTATCTTTTTTTAAACACATTTCTCAAGTTTGTCATCTTTTTCATATATATATATATTTTTGTATTTCGATATATCAATGTCCAGATATAAGAACAATAAATTATATTCATACGAAGATAAGAATGCTGCAAAAATTAGGGGAATGCGCTTAATATTTCTACTCGACGAAGATTTACGATAACTTAACACAAGTGTTTGAATTTTGATTTAATTTGGGATTAAATATGTGTAATTGATATATTGGATCATTATATTGTTTAGCCCAATTAATGAAATTATTGTACATCGACTAAGGAATTTAATTTAAATTGTGAATGATTGGACGTCGACACCCTGTAATATTATTATTTTGGCGACATAACAGACAATAATATTTTTTTCAAGACTTGTTAATTATGCATGTCCGGTTATGATTTTTATTCGGGGAAAAATTCAAAACTAGTTCCACAGGTATAGAGGTGTGACATTTTTTGTCCCAACGGAATGCAAAAAATATAAAGAGTCCCGCAACTTTTAAAAAACGATCAAAAGTAAGACTTTTTGCCGGATTTTACTGTTTTCGGTCTGGAATGCCACGTGGCATATATTTTTTACACGCTGGCATCCGACGTGGATATGAAAAAAATCAAAACTAGTCCCACAAGTATAGAGAGGTTACATTTTTTGTCCCACAGGTATAGGAATGTGATATTTTTTGTTCCACAAGTATGCATAAAATATGCAACAAAATATGCCACGTGTGCGCCACGTGGCATTCCGGGCCGGAAAAAGTAAAATCCTGCAAAAATTTCTACTTTTGATCATTTTTTAAAAGTTGTGGGACTATTTATTTTTTTTGCATTCCGTTGAGACCAAAATTGTCACCTCCTATACCTGTGGGACTAATTTTGAATTTTTCCCTTTTTATTCGGAAGTACACTAATACGCAAAATAAATATAAGTTAGTTAACTTGGATGAACAAAATTGCTTAACCCTAATGAGCGCCCAAGCTACCGTCGACAAGCTACCGGACGATCCCCGGGTGGAGCCACCGGATCTGCACAACAGAGAGTTTCCCCGGCCAAGCGAGATATACTTGCACTCCTCGACCCTCAATTTGGCGTCGAAAAAAAGACGCTCGGTGGGGTCCTTTGATCGCCAGGTGGAGGAACGACCCTTACCGAATAATCCGGCGCCTGCTCGTCCAGTTTCGTCGAAATTGAGCTTTAGGGATTTGCTGAGTAAGAGGCGACCTCATGTCTCTGTCTCTCCTCCTCCGGATGGCGACGAGGCTTCGGAGGATGGCATCACAGTGATAGTAAACGGCCATTCTGGGAGAATTGAATTCTCTGACCCATTCTGGGAGTCGCTTCTACATGAATGGAAATTTGCGGTGGTCGTGAGACTTCTAGGTCATTCAGTATCCCCGGTGGTTATGCATAATCGACTTTCAGCTTTGTGGCCGTCTATAAGGGAGAGCCCGATGATGGATTTGGAAAATGGCTATTTTGTCGTCCGATTTGATACACTGGAAGAACAAATGCGGGCACTCAAGGATGGTCCCTGGGTGATTGCGGATCACTACCTCCATGTCCAGCCGTGGACGGTAGACTTTGACGCGACTGATATTCGAACCCAGTCAATTGTTGCTTGGGTCCGTTTACCTGGGCTCCCTGTCCAGTACTATAATCACAGAGTCTTCCGGTCGATCGGGAAAATCATAGGGAATGTTGTGAAGATTGATTATCAAACAGCTGCACGGATTCGGGAGAAGTATGACCGGCTGGCATGTGTCTTGGACCTTTCCCAGCCACTTTGCTCAGATTTCGTGATTGGGGACCGACATCAACGTGTTGAGTATGAAAGCTTGCCGGACATTTGCTTTACGTGCGGGAGGTACGGTCATATGGCGAATTTGTGTCCTACCTTGCAAGAATTGAATACAGGAGCTTCATCCGAAGGCAAGAAGGGGTCTGAGCACCCTGAACCAGCACAAATTTGACCGTCTCGTCGCAAGACAGTCAAATTGTAAAATTTATTTTTCCTTACAACTTCTACCAACTGGTAGTAGTAGTGAGTAAGGGTCGAACCCACAGGGAGTGTAGAATTTAATTGCTATTATTTTCTTTAATTGAAAGTACGGACACACAAATAAAAGGGGGGATTTTGTATGAATTAATTAACCACTAAAATTGCAAAATGACAGAATGAAATAAAATGCAGCAAATAAGAGTGATTTATCAAATGAATGGGGAAGCTTCTAATCCACGGTTCCGTCTACACCCTCGATTGACTCGTCTAATCAATTTTAATATCAAATCTCGCTATCTCATGGAATTACTAACCCTAGGCAACGACACGGTCTGTTGCCCGAATTTTTCCTTAAGTTTAATTTAACCGTGAGACGCTCAGCGATTAAACCTGACTTCTTGTACAGTCTAGAAGACGCTTCTTAGATTTAATACAATCAGTCGCTTTACGGTCTAGAAAAATAGGTTAGACTAATTAGTGAACTCAACCGCGTTCGCTCACTTAATTAGGTCGTGTTATCCCCGGTAGTTACCATCTTCCGGTTACCTCTTAGGAATTAAACACAACAACAATTACGGATTGAAGGTCTAATTCAGATGTAGATATGCAAAACCTAATCTAGGTGATCAAACTAAACAAGACTAAACACATCATGGTAAATTATTCAAAATAACACAAACAATTCCAAAAAGATAACTTAATAATCAACTACGTAATCAATCAAACATCGTCAATCATAGGGTTCGACTTACCCGGGACTAGAATTAAAAGACTACTCACTAAGCATAATATTCGAAAACATGTTCATGAAATTAATTACACAAGAAAGAAAAGAAAGAAAGGAATATTTTTCTTCTCTGTTGTTGCTTTCCGTGATTCCCTTCTGTTCCTCCTGTCCCGTTTTCTTTTTCTTTTTTTTTCTTCTTTTTTTTATAGGTCACAGCCGCCAACTCCTTCTAAAGCCCCAATCTCCCAGCATAGTCAAACTCTCCAAAAGCCACGTCACTCCCCTCTGAATGCTCCTAAGTCCAACAATTTATTCTTTTCTGAACTTAGTCCTCCTGGCCCACTTCAGCTTTTAATAGTTTCAGCCCACCTGTATTGATTTTGATGCCAAATCACGTGAGTTGTATGGGCTTTACCATATGCATGGGGTTGTATGTACATGGGCCTGCTGGGTCAGTATGGGGTGCTGCAGCAGCAGTACGGGGCTGTCCCGTACTTGCTGGAAAATTCCCGTACTTGCTGGAAAACAACTTCTTCGCGCGTCTCCTTATCATCGTGCACTTGAAAATAGTTCCTAAAATCCTGAAAAATACTAAAAACCTCATAAAGGCACGAGAATTGTTCACAATGTCAAATAAGTCGAGAAAAAATATATAAATGTGGGGATTTAAACGTGCACAATAGCAATATTAGACAATTAATGTGAGCACATTTTTCAACCAATCAACCGCATGAACCCATGGTGGGCCCGGGGCCATGGATGGTGGCACAGAAAAAAACGCGACAGTATTCCAGGTCATCCACATCCCCTTCAGTGGTCCCTTCGAAGGCCAAGGTTGGCATTTTGGGTTCTGGCTCTCGTTTTGCGTCCCTTCAAGAGGATGTCGTGGGTGACAAGGCAGGTCAAAATCTCGGTGGTTCGAAGGAGGAGTGGGTATTTTCTGCACAGAGCAACGTGAAGGAACATGGCCGTGGGCCGAAGGTGTGGAAGTCGAAAGGGCATCTTAAAGGGCATGATCAGACTCAGGTGAAAGATGTTGGAATAACTATTTTGGGTGGCCATACCAAAGGTGGCAGGGATAAGAACGATACCAAAGGTACGAAAACAGTTGTGGGACGTGATAGTACCATCAAAGTTGTCGGACACTGGAGAATCAAAGAGGTAAAGCCGTAATTAATGGGGACTGTGTCATGGTACCCGCCACCAGTGCTCTGGACCCTACGAGACACCAAGTTGTTACCTTTATCTCTTCGGTCACGAAGGATCAGCCCATGGTGGTGGACTTTCCATCATCTAGCCGCAACATAATCCTCCAGGAGGAACCCCGGATAACTTATCTGTGCGCCAGGATGCACATGACCTCAACATGGATGAGGATGGTGAGAGTATGGAACTGGCCACTGGAGGCTCCCGTTCGTCTTGATGACATGGTCTACTTTCTTATGTATAGTTTCCTTATGAATTTTCTGGCATGGAACGTGCAAGGGGCTGGCTCTAGCAGATTTCGGAGAGCCTTCTCTACATTCATCCAGCAACACCAACCGGCTGTGGTGGCGATGTTTGAACCCAGAATCAGTGGGGTTAATGCCGACGATTTTATCCGGAGGTCAGGGTTCCAACGCTCGTTTCGCGTGGAGGCCTCTGGCTTTGCGGGTGGGATATGGATCTTGTGGAGGGAGACAGCTGTGGTGTCTATCTTACAATGCCATAAGCAGTTTGTTCACCTCCGTGTCCAGATTGACGATCAGGAATTTCTGATTACTTTTGTATATGCTGCACCGAACCCGATGGGTAGGCGAGTCCTTTGGAGTCTTTTGTCGGAGCTGGCTTCATCTATTCGCGAACCCTGGTTGATTGGGGGTGATTTTAACTGCATCTTACGCCCATCGGAGAGCTCCAGTGGATCCTCTCGTGGTGGAGTGAGATGTACTGCCTTCTCGGAGTGGGTCTTTGATGCTGGGCTGCATGAAGTTAGGACCGATGGTACCCCCTTCACGTGGCACCGAAGAGACTTATCTAAGAAGCTCGATAGGTTCCTTTGCAATGAGGCGTGGATGGACAAGTTTCCTGAGGCTTTTGTATTTCATGCTCCGCGATTCCAATCGGATCATTGCCCGTTGTTTGTCCGCTGCTCGGCTAGTCCTCAACCTCGACCGTTTCGGTTCTTAGCCCCGTGGTTATTACATGATGGATTCTCAGAGGTAGTTGCCAAGTGCTGGACGGAGAGTAGGGACTTCGTGGAGGCGGCCAACTCGTTCACCATTGAGGCTAGGGAGTGGAACTACCGTGTCTTCGGTAATATTTTTGCTCGGAAAAAATCTCTACTAGCTCATCTTGGAGGTATTCAACGTGCCTTACAGAACCACAGGTCCTCCAGCTTAGCACGACTCGAGAAGACATTATCAACCGAGCTGGAGGAGATGCTACTCCAGGAGGAGGTCCTCATGATACAGAAGTCGACGCGAGATTGGGCCTTTTTTGGGGATCGTAACACGGCATTCTACCATAGAAAAGTTAAAGCCCGTCGACACAAGAACAAGATTGTCGCTTTGCGGGATAGCCAAGACAATTTGGTTACGGACCCTATCGACTTGCAGCAGATGGCGGTCTCGTATTTCAAGTCTATCTACATGTCGGTCCCGGAGGTCTCACCACCTAGGGCCGCCTGGGCCAGTTTCCCTCCTATCAGCCCCCAGGCATATTCCCAACTTCAGCAGGATGCTTCAGATGAGGAAATCTCCCGGGCTCTCCGGGATATGGGGTCCTTAAAAGCACCGGGGAGTGATGGTCTCAATGCTCTTTTCTTTAAGAGCCAGTGGACGAGCGTTGGTACGTCTGTATGCCAACTGGTCCGGAAGGTTCTTTGTGGTGGTGATATGCCAGCGAACGTAAACAGAACTCTTCTTGTTCTCATCCCGAAGATTGCCCAACCGGAGAGGATCACACAATATCGCCCGATTAGTCTCTTGAATGTGGTTTACAAATTAATGACGAAAGTGTTGACTAACAGGATGAAACCTCTCCTCCCCGCTTTGATTGGGCCGGCTGTGCCGGGCCGACATATTCATGACAATATTATCGTTGCACAAGAATTGATACATTCCATGCGGACGAAGACTGGAGCGAAAGGATTCATGGTAGTCAAGGTCGATCTAGAAAAGGCGTATGATTTTCTTCGGTGGGATTTTGTGGAGAATACCCTTATTCTAGCGGGATTTCCTCGGTCCTTTGTGAGGGTGGTCATGACGTGCGTGTCCTCCGTTTCGATGCAAATTCTTTGGAATGGTGCTCCGACTGAAGAATTTTGGCCAACCAGAGGGATCCGACAAGGTGACCCCATTTCGCCTTATTTATTTGTCCTCTGCATAGAACGACTAGCCCACGATATTCAACATGCGGTGGAGCGGGGGAAATGGAGGCCTATCTCTGTGGGACGCGGGCGAGTAGAGATCCCGTACTTATTATTCGCGGATGATCTTCTTCTATTTCTTGAAGCGTCGAATGATCAGGTGTGTGCATTGAAGGAGGTCCTAGCCAATTTCTGTCGCGACTCGGGCTTGAGAGTAAGTGCTCCAAAGACAACAGTATTCTTTTCTAAGAATGTGGAGCCAGTTGCTAGAACAAATTTATCCAATATGTTGGGCTTCAGCATGGTGGAGGACCTGGGCTACTACCTGGGAGTTCATATCTTGCATGGTAGGCCCACGAACCAAACCTATGGGAGGCTACTTGAGAAAGCGGGGGCCAGGCTAGCGGGCTGGAAAGTAACTTCGTTGTCCATGGCGGGGCGTGTGGTCCTAACGCAAGCCGTCCTTAGTGCCCTTCCCTATTATACGATGCAATCGGCGCGGCTGCCTAATTCTGTGTGCGAGGGCCTGGAAAAACGGTGTCGGCGCTTTGTGTGGGGCGGCTCGGATGATACTCAGAAGCTTAGCCTTGTTAAATGGGAGGAAGTATGCGAGTCCCGCGTGTATGGGGGGCTGGGGCTGAGACGTCAACGTATGATGAACGATCCCTTGCTGATGAAGATAGGGTGGAAGTTTCTCACGGATCATGATGCATTATGGATTCGTGTATGGAAAGCAAAGTACGGTGATGACCCTCGCTTGGTTACTTCCGGCAGTCGTTGCTCGGCAGTCCTACAGGCCGTGAACAAAGTGTGGAATCTAGTCGTTAAAGGAGCTCGATGGGCTATTTGTGATGGCTGCACGGCTAAGTTCTGGACGGACCGTTGGCTTCCTTCGGGTACCGTGTTAAATGACTTAGCTCTAGATGTGATCCCTCCAACCCTAATGGATAAAACTGTCCACTCCTTTGTTTCGAGTGGCGGTGCATGGAGATGGAAACTCTTCTCCAGCTTGCTTCCGGCGGCGGCCCTGCTCCAAATCGCAGCTACTCCGCCGCCACAACCTGAACTCGGCCGCGATCGACTGTTTTGGGGACCATCGCCTACAGGAAGATTCACAACAAGATCGGCCTATGAGCTTGTTAAGGCGGAACAGAATCGGATTGCTGACATAGGCCCGGTTACGGAAAGGAAGCCGTTATGGAGGGCAGTGTGGAGGTGGCCAGGCCCTCAGCGTATTCGCATCTTCCTTTGGCTCCTCGTGAAACAGCGGCTGCTCACTAATGCGGAGCGACAGCGGCGCCACCTCACAGTCGTTACCGTGTGTAATTTTTGTGCCCAGGCGGACGAAACAATTTTACATGTACTCCGGGATTGCAAGTTGGCCGCGGGTATTTGGAGGAGATTGATATCGGCACACCACCAGACCGCCTTCTTTGCGCAGCAGATGGGCCCGTGGGTAGCTTCGAACCTCTTGCCGAAGTTTGATGTTGGAGACGAGAATTGGGACAGAACCTTCGGGGTTGTGGTGTGGAAGTTGTGGAAGTGGAGAAATGAATTTATCTTTCAGGGGAAGTCGAGAGATCTTGAGAGTGGAATGCGTGAAATTGTTGCATATATAGATGGGCTGAAAATGCTTAATAAGTGTGACACGAAGCTTGGTGGATCGGGACAGCTGAGGGTGCCGTGTTGGGTTACGTGGGTGCGTCCACCGACGGGATGGGTTAAGGTTAACTCGGATGGCTCCTTCAATGGGATGACGGGCTTGGGATGCGCTGGCGGCCTTATCCGCGACGAACTAGGTCGTTGGCTTGGTGGTTTTACTATGAAGATTGGTTTTTGCTCGATCATGGGGGCGGAACTATGGGGACTATTTCAGGGACTTCGCTTGGCTTGGAATTTGGGGTATCGCTTTGCGGAGGCAGAGGTGGACAGTGAGAGTGTGGTGAAGTTTTCTGCTTCCCTTGAGGAGGTGCCAGGGGTGCATACCAGTCTGATTTTGGGTATTAAAGAATTGTTGAGCCGCCCTTGGCAGGTCAAGGTGCATCATGTGTTTCTTGAAGCGAATTTTGCTGCCGACTGTTTGGCCTCATTAGCGACTGAAGGAGCCGTGGGATATCACATCTTCCCAGAACCGCCTGATGGGGTTCGGCAATGGTTGTTCCATGATATAGTGGAGTTTCGTATTCGAGGAACGTATGTGACTCAGTCGTAACGTAGAAGCGTTAGATTCTTTCTTTGTACCGAAAAAAAAAAATATATAAGTTATTTAACCAGATTTTATTAATATACGTCTATCATTTTGAAAAATAAAATAAAATAAAATAAAATAAACCTCTGTCTTAACGGGCCTAACATAACAGGCCGGCCCGAATGTTTTGCCCACTTACATCCAACACCAATGCACAATACTTGAAGCACAAATTCGTGGAGCCCAAAAGAAATTCGGTAAAAAGGTTTCTATATTTGCCACACAACTCCGAAATTAACGATTCATTTATATTTTACTATAACGTACACATAATAATTAACAACATAACACCCGCTTTACACTTTATATATGCTTCGAGCAATCAAGCAATAGATCGTTTTACACATCGTCAACGGGACGGGATTTTAGTAGAACAACTTGGTCTATTTACATGCCGGTACTTTGGAATTAGGCACGTGGACGAATACGATTGTGTGCGGATAAATGGTTACGGGCCCTGAGGACGCTACTCGAACGGGCTTCAAGGTTGGTATAGCACCGGAGGGGCCGACAGTTAAAGCTTCGCCGTTGAGCAAAACAGTTTGGCTTTGTAGGTTTCCGTCAAACGGGCTCAAGTGATATTCTTCTCGGTATAGTTTGCCGTTGTTTGGACCTTTCGACCCGTGCTTACTGTTGAAATCGAGCTTTGCCCGAACTTTGGTCTTGCCGTCTAGGTTTATCAGTAGAATCGTAATTCCTTTCTGCAACATGTGATGATTCAGTTTGATTTCATTGAATAAAGTGAGTTAAAATTGAGAGGAAAAAAAAATGATTTGGTGGAAATTTATATTTGATTTTTAGTTTGTGAATGGAGATGGAATAAAATGTGATGGTTGTAAGAAACGGGAGAAAACGGGTGCGGTCCCACGCAGATGAATCACACCATAAGCAAGAAAAACCCAGATGAAGTCCAAGTGAGGTTCCATCCCAAAACCAATTGGTAGAAGGAGGAGTAGTCCATTAGACATATAAATTAGACATATTTTCCCATATAAACGTTGTGGGACAACTCACAAGTGAATATTCTAATACGCCCACTTCCTTATGAGTCCTTAATAAGAAAGCTCAAACCCATATACGGAGCTAGGTACCCGAGTCCTACTAGAAACGGGTTGAGAAAAGGTACGTCATCGCACGGTCCCACATAAAACTAGCTCTGATACCATGTAAGAAACGGAGAAAAAACGGGTGCGGTCCCGCGCAGATGAAGCGGACCATAAGTAGGGAAAGCCTAGATGAAGTCCAAGTGAGGTTCCATACCAAAATCAATTGATGAAAAGAGAAGTAGCCCATCACTTATAAATTAGACCTCTTTTTCTATATAAATGACGTGGGACAACTCACAAGTGAATATTCTAATAATGGTTAAAGTTGATGGGATATAGAAAATAGTAAAATAGTGATTGTAAGTGATTATAGTTAATAATATGTTTGTACGTGGACGAATAGTGAATTTTGTGTAAACTATGATGATGTAATAATTGATTTAATAATGTTGATGAGAGTTAAGTTACGTTGAATTAGGTTTGAGTTACAAAAATTATACAATTCCATAAAAAAATAATCCGACAAGGCTAAACCGAATCTTTTTTTTTCACGTACTTCCGATTAATGCTAAGAATAATTCGTATGGTTTTGTCGAATGCACAACTTACTGATGGCTTTGCACAATGGGCGTACGCACGGATGCTTTTTGTCCCTCTAAATCTTGTCGATAGAACTCGTTTCCCCATCAAACGGTGCCAAAGAAGTGCGCTACAAAAACACGATCGGCTGTAAATTTTTCGAACATCGACAAAAGGCGAACATTGAGCAAGACAAACATTTTTTTTTTTTTTTCGGCCAAAACCTGTAGTAATCTGGGTTCGGGACAAAACTGGTGGTGTTAAGCAACCCATAGTTACCTCCGATCAACGTCTGTCTACAGTATACCTTGGTGTCGTAAACCGATGCAAGCCCCATGTGGTCCAAATACCTATTTTGTTCGTACATTAACATCGACCACTTGTTTTAGTCGACTATAAGAAGCTAAAAGAAATCGAAAATAATTTTTATGTTATCGAGCATTACCAGAAACTAAAGAGGAACGTGTTTGTAATCCCATCACGACCACTATTATACACACCTCCCGACTCGCCAATCCATGCAACCGTCGAGGTTTCAGATTTCTTGAGAATCTCATAGAGTCTCCTAAACACCTCAGCTCCCTTGTCTAGAGCGGTTGCATTCAGAATTTTGTCCATGAGTTTCGTGTCGGACTCGGACCCTACGAATTAATTTAATAGTAAAAAGTAAACACTATGTTCAAAATTCGATTTCCTCAAGGACTATAAGTCAACTACGGTTGTTATCAAAGCGAACTGTTCGCGAACAAAACTTATTCATATTCGATAACATCTCGTTCGTCTAGTAATCAATCTAAACTCGAACATGAAATTATGCTCGTTTAGTTACTGAATGAGCACGAACAAGTTCATGACTAAACGACCGTTCGTGGACGAAAAGGTATTTTATAATTTTGTTATTATATATAGTATACACATATATATAATACATTATACAGATATCGATATATATTAAATATTAAATAAAAATAACACTGTATGGTATTAAAATTTAAAAAAAAAAAAAGTAAAAAAAAAACGAATATGAATTTGTCGAATTTATCTAAATCGATCTTGTTGAACAATTCACGAACAAGTTCGACTATATAAACGAACGAACATGAACTTATCGAACCAATAAACGAACGAACACGAACGAGATTTTTTGTTCAAATATTAAATGAACAAACACACACACGTTCAAAATAGTCGAACACAAGCTCGAAAACCTTAAGGTCGGTTCGTTTTCGTTCGATAACAGCCCAAGCCTCAACTATCCGTATCTTGATTTTCGCTCTGTTAATGCTTGATTTTCGTAAATTGCATCGATTTCGTACCTGGGCCGAGAGGGTACGTGTGGTGGGTGATCACGTCCAGTGTTCCGTTAGTTTTCGGTATGTAGCTATCGAACCAGTTAGGTTCGAATATTGCTCCGGGAGCAATTACCAGCGGCTTATCACGGGACCCTCTGTAAATCTCTTTTATTAAATCACGAAGAGTATCTGTGTCGGACGCGTATGGATTGACGTCGATTGCCACGCCTAATATCGGCCATCCTCCTAATTCGTTCCCTTAAAACAAAAAAAATAAAATAAAAAACAGAAAAAAGAGAACAAAAGGGATTAGTTAGGTCTCTATATACCCAAGTCGATATCAAATGCTAATACGAATAGAGTCCGAAAACAGAATCCTAATTGATGATGAAGAAAAAGAATTCTTGGTTCAGTTCTTCACCTTAACGATAGAAACTCATCGTGATCATTTATCAAAAAATATGAGTCTGGTTATCAAGTGATTGAACAATTAGGAGCAATTTACTTACGATACTTAGTTGACATTCAATACAATTTGGTCGAGTTGAATTATTTCTTACCGAGCTCCCAACCGTGAACGCTGTAACCTTTTTCGGCCGTGTAACGGATAAGTGATTCGGCATTGGTCGAGTCCCAAGGACCCATCGCATTTTTACCTCTCCATATAATTTTACCGTTAAGAGCATTGAGTCCGAAAATAGGGATAGCCCTATATTTTGAAAAAAATTCAAAAAATATATATATCAATGTTCGTTATCGTTGCGTTTACGTACAAAGGCGTATACACATATATATGTAACGTTTTCTTTCGAGTAAGTATGCATTTTTTTACCCGGCTCGACTGATGAAGGTATTTAGCTCGTCCCATCTAGACAAAGGCATGCATCCCTCGGTGAAGTTGAACAATTGGGACGTGTTTCCGATGAAAGGAACGCACGGTATGTTTCGTGTTTGGTAGATCAATCTATCTTGCAGGGTGCCTCCAAGTCTCATTCTCAGAGGTGAAAATGCTGCATGATATGAGAAAAAAATAAAAAAAAAAAAGGTAACCAAAGCTATGAATTTATGGGGGAATTAAATAAATATATTGAAAATATTTATTTTACATAGAAAGGGCTGGTACCTTTAATGGCATTGAAGAGAATTACATTGTTCAGATCCTGTAGAAGGCCCAATTATTTAATTTAAAGACTGAAACAATTCTATTAAAGGCCCAAATATTTAAATTAAATATATATATATATATATATTTAAAGTTTTTAGGTTTTCTTCAATTAAATTAAATAAACCTGATCAAAATCAATTAAATTCAAAATTCAAACACTTTCAACATTCTTTTCTCTTCGTGACTCAATATCATCACGAGTTCATCATGGCTACAATTAAATTTAAAACTCAAACACTATAACAAATAGAGTCCAAAATCACTTAAAACATAAAGGAAAAAAAAAATAGTTTCACCACAAAATTTAGCCCTCGGATTGCACATAGTCACACACACACCAGTGTGTGTGGAATCTGACGACTAAAACCCTTGTGGGGCACTACTGACGTACACAGTCACACACACGTGTGTATCTAACGGCTAAAACCCTCGTCAGGCACTACTAAGGCTAAAAATCGACCCTCTTTTCATCTTTATTTTGTTTGTTTTTTTCTTGTGTTCAACAGAGTGAGAGAGAGAGATCAACATACCACATTCAAAAGAGAAGCCATGCCCCAACTACAAGTCCCGTAATCACACTTGTCATCACCTGGCCACAAGTCCAAATTCGCGCACACGAAATTCTCATCGGTCTCCGCAATATAATTTTCCCCATCGATCAAAACCGAGCCATCGACAGTCGTACAATCACCACATGTTAAGCTCGTCAAACACACAACCACAGCACAACACGACAGAACACGCGCCAACAAACCCATATTAATTACAAGTATATAATTTGCACGATTTTTTTTTTTTTTTTTTTTTTNTAGCCTAAGCACGAATGTCCCGCGTACCTTTATATAATAGCACACAAAACTATCGTAAAACGAGCAAATCAGTGTTGTGAGCTACGCGGACACGGCTACAAATTATTTGCGTCCGTCCTTCTGCAGTACCGACCGTGTTGTGTCGAACTATCGTGTTTTTTGTGCACACGAATGTATGTCGTTTTCGTCAAATATAAGATGATGGTCAGGATAATGCAATGAAAAGATCATATTTCTACCATTTTTGATACGAGAATTTAAGCGAGTTGCGATTTTTCTTCACGTATACAGCTCATATTTCTACCATATTAGTTAACAATTTAATTAGGCCAAATATTTGAATGTTTGGTAGTCCGGATAATTATTAGGTTGCTCCCACGCTACTGATAGGACCGGAGTGATATGGTGACAAATAGATAGAACTTGCCTTGGTTATTAAATGGAGCGGATCCAACCCGACCCGTTTGAAAAACGGGCAAACCCACCCATTCAAAAGAATGCGGGTCGAACCAAGGCAGGATGGGCCTAAGCCAAATTGCTACTTTTAGTAAAAATCTTACTTTACTTAGCTCATGCTAATATTTATATTGTCCATAATTATCTAAACATTTACGCGTTGTATTGACTTGAGATTTTGAGCGATATTTTGAGACTTTTTGAGATTTGAGTCCTTTTAAAATTTTCAAAATACTACGAAATTTTAATTCTGTGAGTGGGATTGGAGTTGGATTTCGTATATGGCTTTTTGTTTTGAAATACAAACACATTATATATAAAGTCTTAACAAATTTTAAGTTTAAATATATTTACCTCAAGATTTTATAAGATTTTGTAAACTCCCAAATGATCACCTCGAGACTTTTAAAAGTTTTAAAAAAATCTAAATTCAATATAACAAAGTTTCTAAATGTTAAAAGTGATTCAAAATCTTAAACTAATACACTCTTATATTATCTAAAAATATTAATTATGTGTTGATCATTATGGGCCTTTAGTAGCACTGTCCAAATGGGTCTTGACCCGTGGACTGGTTCGTCCATCAACTTTGGGCAGACAAGAAGCTCCAGGCCCGAATAGAAGGTCAAAAGCCGAGATGAACAAATAGCACAACTCAAGGAGCTCCTTAGCCGGGCCCAAAAGGTGAAGATGCAGGCCAAATAGCATTGCTAAAAGCTCATGCTCCAACAACAAATCCATCTTTGGGGCCCAAATTTCAGCATCAAATTTAACAGACACTCTTCCTCTACATCAATATATATGTTTACTCTTGGCTGATACTACATGTCATGTTGAGCTTTTTATTCAAGCAAAGTTTTAGTTTATACAACTTAATTTGTTTCGCGATACTCGAGTTTGACTCGTTTAAATGAGTCAAACACAGTTGTTAAATAAGCCGTGCCAAAACATACTCGTTTATTTCAAATACTACTATATATATGACGGGCAGATCATTCAATCCGGCATTCTTTTTATATGATATGTCCCTTACATTTTGTAGAGTTTTTATATATCATCATATCATTAAATAGATAAGTTTTTCATCATGTATTTAAATAAATGAGATGAAGTGATATAAATGATAGCTAGGGAGATGCTACGGTCCCGTTACGAAATCATTTCGTCGGTTTATAACCGTTAGATCATTATGTAACCGTCGGGGATAGTTGATCTAACGGTTACAAACTCTGACGAAATGACTCCGTAACGAGACCGTAGCATTTTCCTAAGTGATATATATGAGTTAATAGTTTCTCAAATAAAGTGCTCAATATGAATCCTATTTAAAAAGACAAAAAAAAAAAACCATACTATTAAAACTAAAATATCTTGTGGTGATGGCAAAATATCATTGTCAATGGCGGCCATTTTGCCTTTCACTAAAGCGATCGAATTTAGATATGAATCTGGAGAAAGTGAAATGAAATGAAATGAAAATTTATGCATAGGTCCGTCCGTCTCAATTATTTGGACAAAATAATGCCACGTAAAAAGGCCTCTTAACGACCATTTCAACCAGTTATGAGGAAGCCACGTTTTAGCTTGCGTATGGGTAGTTAACAATAGATTAATTAATT